GGGGGGGGGGGGGGGGGGGGGGGGGGCTGCGTGATGACCAACTTTGTGAGGGTAATGACCATGCGGGAGAAGCGGTCGGCGGTGGTGCTCTCCAGGCCGGGAGCCATGGAAAGGTCATAGTACAGGCGGGCGAGGCGGGCGCGCAGTTCCCTTGTCATTTCGAACTTGAGATTCAGCCATCCCTGCAGCTCGCGGGTCCAATGCAGGGCGCCGGGGGAGAAGTCTTCGGCCATGATGGCGATGTAGAGGTTCTTGAGGATGCCGCGCAGGGCGGCATCACGGTGTGAATCGTCCTCGACATCGAAGGGCAGCAGCCTGTAGTAGCTGAATGTGCGGGGGCGGTAGCGCTTCTTGTCGTCTTCGCGGTGATGCTCGCCGCACGCGAGGCCCGGGGAGGTGGCACGGGAGATGGTGTCGACGGACGAGAGCAGGCCCGAGAGGAAGGGCGGTGCGGCTCCGCCAGCCGACGGGGTGAACGCGGCCTCGAAGCCAACGTGGGTCTCTAAGGATTCGTCCATTGCTGTATTGTCTGATGTGTGGCCGCTGTTGGGGGCGGCCAAGGAGGACGGTCGTGTCGTGTGCTCGGGTCGCCGGGGGTGGGTTGGTCGCGGGTGTCCACGTCGCACAGTGCCGCGATGGAGGGGAGGAGGACGTGGGCGGACGAAGAAGCAGGCTCGACGGAGCTCAGGAGGCTGAGGAATGTCGGGGCTCAGGGTGCGGCGGGAGTGGCGGTGGTGGTGTCGAATTGGGGATTACGGTCGACCCCCTCAATCATTTCGCCCCTCTTCCAGAGGAACCGGGTGCCGTGCGTGCTTGCTTGTTCCAGATGATGCGCGCGTGCTGCGCAGGGCAGGCAGGTCGACTCGGCAATCGGCAGGCGGGAGTCGCGTGGGGATCACGGCGGTCGCGGGTGTCTGGTGGGAAAGCGCGGGTCTGGGGAGAAGCAGTCAGCCGGGCCGCGAGGACGGGGTGGCGCGCGTGGGGGCCGTTGGGGATGTGGATGGGATGCGGATGGATGGTATGTGGTTGGGATGCGGTTGGGATGTGGTTGGGATGCGGGTTGGTTGTGGTTGCAGGGCCCAGAACTGGGGTCGAAATATGGAACCTGTGACGCCAGCGCCGGCTCTGTTCAGTCTGTGCTCAGGCAGCTCTGCTTGGGGCTCTGCTTTGGCACAATCCGAGCAGGGCAAGAGGAAGAAACGAGACAACGCTTGCTTGCTGCAATTGCTGTGCTGCTCACCTCTCCAGAACCGGCAAACACAGCCACACACACAATCAGGATGCTGCCACCGGCAATCGAACCCACACACACCCTCTCAGCGCGGATGCCAGAGACTTGAGACCTGCAGCGTGCAGGCAGAGTGAGGCTGGCGACAGAGACGGGAGCTTGTTCATTACAGCATCAGCAAGTTCCAAGACCCGCAGCAAGCTTGAGTGGGCCAAGGGTGGGCCAGGATGCACCTCCAAGCCAAGCCCACCGGCTGGCGAATCAAGAGCGCCAGCAGGGATGGCACAGGCCGACAGTAGCTCGCCCCCACCGATGCAGCTCAGGGCTGTCTCCCTGCGGGGTTCAACTTTTTGGGGGAAGACGAGGGGGGGGATCGATGCCCTCGTGGGACGGGCCCGAGAGACGGGTGCAGGTGCGGGTCGGTCGTGGTGTGTGGGAGGGGACGAAGGAGGGGGCGAAGTGAGAGGTCAGAAGTCGTCAGAAGTCAGAAACAAAAAAAAAATGTAAATCGCCTGGCATCATCTGCTTATTTGGGATAGCGGGATGTAGATTGAGACCAGCCAGGACGCAGGAGGTGCAGTGCAGCAGAGAGACAGGTTGGGGCCCGACGAATGGATCAGTCGGCGGATTTCAGAGAGACAATGGAAGTCTGGAAATAGCTAACCTCGAAAAGTGAACTTTTGCAGCACTGTGACGACCCGGCAGTTCTTATGCAGCCAGCCATGTCATGCCATGCCATCCCTCGAACTGGAACATGCTCACGTCGTCGCTTCCGCCTGGAGCCACAGGCAGCGAAGACAGCAACGCAAGCCTTTTCCCTCGCACCTCGCCCACCAATACGTCCGTCCCTTGGACCAATCGGCTTGGACCCCGCCTCGACACCCAAACCTCCCGACCCTGGACTCACTCATCAACCCTCCAACCCTTGACTTCCTCAACCCTTCAACCCGCGGGCCGTTCCAAACCCTGCGGTAATCTGCAATCCATCCCCAGTCAACAATTGCTCAAAAACGGGCCAAGAAAAATGGCATCGACGATAAGCATCGGCTGCTTCGAGTCCCCTTCTTGCCACATTAGTTAGCTAGCTACTTGGGGGGAACCGGAGTGGCACTGGAACGGCACATCGCTCAAAGATGTGGGCGGCAAAGCCACGAGTCTAGGCACCTCCGTTGCACAGCAAGTCTCTGCCGAGGTTCAGTCAAACTGATGCATCCCCAGTGCCAACCCACCCACACCATTGCGGACAGGTCGGGTGGGATGGCAAATTCCTTACTCGCGGAGTCCGCATGGAATGGCTTCGGACAAGTCTGAGCCGCCGCCGTTGCCAAGACAAGTGAGAGAACAGGCACAAGGGACACGCCACCCCCCATTCGCTGGCGTGGCACAGTGGCCTACGGCGTTCCAGACCATCCGTCTCGGCGTCAATGAGACATTACACCAAGCTCACTGCCTCAATAACTCTCCGACGGAGTATTGGTTGGATGGGTTCGAAGGCCAGCCCACCACCGTCAGGTAAAAAGTGAGTGGGAAACGGAAAACAAATGAGCGTCCCAGGGATCGAACCTGATACCAAAATATCCCAAGTAGGGACAAAAGTATGACCAATCCAGGGATCGAACCTGGCACCTTCTCGGAAGAAAGTTCACACTCTTGTGAACGAGACGTGATAACCACTACACCAATTGGCCTGTCTATGTCAAAGCAAGCTTGTTATTCACCATATGTTGCTGCCAACAATGTCGTGGTGTTTCCAAAGTTTAGGTTCCGAGAGGTTTTAAGAAGTTCTCCCCAAGGTCTGGACAAAGCCACCATAACCCCTCCTCCGCTGGGAGTACAGCATGACCAGCTCCGTGATTTCCCTGCACCGGCTCAGCCTGTCCATATCACGCGCGTCGCTAGCCGAGACAAGCATCGTGGACAGTCCGGCGACGGTATAGAACTGTCACAGGCCTGACTGTGACCATGGTACATGGTGTGCGATGACCGTTCGCTAGGACAGAGCGAACAAC